TCAGGCTGGTGACGGTGATTTCAATGAAACTTTGGCTGAATTCACTGGGAGAAATGCTTCGCAATTCGGTGTGATCGAAAGTGAATTAGTCGATACTGAAGATCGTCTTGAGGAACTTGGCTTATCGAGTGAACTATTGGAGAAATATAAGGTAGTCAGGAGGTGTTTCAGTTGAAGAAACAAAAGTGGGCGTGGCCTAAATGTGGGCTCAGCGAATTATTTTAATTTGTGGGCGTGGCTAGTTACCGTAATCAAGCTAGCCCAGAGGTACTAGTGCTACCATAAACTATTGCAAAATCCTCCGCTTCCGACTTTTTTAATCTCTTAGTATTGTATTTGGAGTTGAGATTCTCTAACGATTTAGATTTCAATAATACGATGGGAGAATCTGCCGTCTTACTATTAGTGTTGATGTAAAATGTAAATTAAGAAGTCAACAACAGATGGAGTAATTTTAGTAATTATTTCATCAGAGGAGAGAATTTCCAGCACTTCAAATTATCCATGGCGGATCTTTCAGGCCGTTGGACTGCTTTATCGAGAGATCTGTGGAAACTATGATCGTGAACTGTGGTTTACAACAACGGATGATGCGAAACGCATCGGGGTTCGAGAAGAATCACTCATATGTGATCCATACAAGGTGCGGTGGACATAATTTTGCACAAGATTTTGACTGGACTCGAAGAATCTGTGACAAAAATTCCAAATTTCCGAAGAAATATAACCTTCTGATAACAAAATAATGAATTCGCTATCTACACCCTATTCAATTGGCAATTTTGATCGCTTAGAAAACTGCTATTTATCAAATGATGACTGAATAGATCATAAGTTGAAGTTGATGTTGAGAATTTTTTTTGGGAGGTCTTCTTTCTTTTTAGAGATAATAGATTCATTTTCGGGTGAGAAGATATCGGGAGGGTGTAGATATCTGAGTGGAGATTTTCACGTAGGACTTCAACGAATTCTTCAGGAAGAATTACATCCGAACGAGGAACGACTAACACAATTTGCACATCAGCTAAACGAACTTATCAATAACCTCACTAATGCGGATATCGAAGACAAGGTGTTAGGGAATAATTCACTGTCGCTAGCAACAACTAGAAACACAACGGAGATGCCGTTGACCACTGAATCGTCTGATTCAAGCGGACGACGGGTGGCTGAAGAAGCACGCGACATGGATCAAGGCAGAGCCAAACGATCTGAAGAGGAGGGTCAAAATAATATGAGGTGGCAAAAATGCTTGAAGTGAAACGCAATTGGAATGGACTTCCATATGAACTTCCATCTGTCCTTTCTTTTTGGAATAACTTCTCAATTATACCTGCGGCAGATTTCTTGAAACTCGATTATATGAAAAATTGACTCATTGTGAAATCCTGATCGCATAGCAAATGCATTCCCGGTTGCAGGGACTCGAAAGCCGTCACTACAATAGCGGTACGTATGAAGCGGAAGATCACTAACGTTGATACGGCTTCAGTCCATCATCAGCAAAAGACATCTTCAATCACGCACAATGACGATGACGATTTTTGGCTTGAGGTGAGATATCTCTTCGAAATCCGACCTACAATAAGCAAAATCCACACTTTTGTCCAGTGAACGAAAATTTTGCGATTTGGATTTTCAGGATTTGGTTATTGAAGCGTCGAAATTCGATAAAGCTTCATCAATGACAATGACATTCGTGACTGCAACACGTCGAAATGCTTCCGAAGATGGTGCCACTGATACGAGCTCAGATAAGCCTGCATTTGTCACAATAGATGCAAGTGATGAGTCTGGGTAAGTGGTATCCAACTCCAATTCATGACCAACTCATCAGCTAATTGTGATCAACGGATTGTGATCAATCCGTTAAAAAACATTTTTTGCTCTCTGATTATTCTGCAGCTCGCTTACTTCATTATTTTCCAACAGTCCTTTCATTAGTTATGCGTACAGTGCGATAATAGCGTTTGGAATCATCTGTCTTCGTGAAATCCGAACTTGGATTATTGATCTGGCAAGCACACAGGTTTTGGGTTANGGAAGAAGCCCGAAAATACATTCCGATTGGTCGATTGAACACTTGTTCAACGATCCTTTAAAGTAGTTGTTTGGAACAACCAAGAGTATTGTGACTTCTTAAGTGATTAAAATTGTAATTTGTGACTTAATGTGACTTAAATCAGTAATCTTTCGTTATCAATCACAAACGATTAATGCAACCGAGTAGATCTATCTTTAAGAATAGTCGACTAATTAGAGAAGTTTGGATTTCAGCGCCACAATGACGATAAACTCATTCGAAGTGGCCAATGCACTGCAGCTGCAAATCCCGGAAAATTTCTTCAAACGTTACGAAAAAATCGGCTTCTTTCTACCGGGCATATGCGCAGATTTCGTACCGTCTGCTGTGGATGAATTCAACGCGAGTGCTTTCGAAGGTGCTGCCGGCTGGATTGAATGACTTCGCATGCTTTCGCAAATACTTTTATCAATCATAATGGCAAAAACAGTGATTCTGATGTTCTATTTGAGTTTTTAAACAGTATTTTTGTGAGTGGAACTGACTAAGTATCAAAGTAGCGGTTTAAAAGATTGTCATTTTCAAAATTTTAGCATCGTATGATCGAATAGATCTTATTATTAGTATCAGCAAACTAGTCTCTGAATTTGGATACCCTGTAATGGTACTTAACAATTATATGTAAAGGAAAAATCGCC